GGAAGTACCGGTGCGTTACTTGCTTAGGCTCGTAGAGCGTTAGATTTTTATTATCCACGAGGGAAATTCCTTGTTTTCATCGGTTTGGCGTATGTCCGAAAGGTGGCGCGATGCTTGCTCCATCGCATCGGACAATTCGCTTGGCGTCATTGACTCGGGAAGGCCAAGGTGTTTCACAAGTTAAAACGTACTTGTTCGTAATATCCAAACGCCCCTTTCTTTACTGTTATGGGCATTAATAGGTCAGTTTTCAAGAAAGCATACCGCCATTGCCCTTAGTTGTTACCTCTTATTTTCTTTGAAAAGTTTTGGCTTTTGAAGGCTTTGCTAAGTGGTGGTGGCTTTCTCGTAGATGAACAGGCGTTCTATTTTAATCTTATCATACCAAACGTATAAATTTGTGGTAAAGTCCTTCAAAGCTATTTTCGTAGAGCAATCGTAAAGCAAAGCATGAGATTATATGCTGGTCTTGTGGAACATAAGTAGTTTGTGCTTTGAGACCTACATGTTTACTCCGGCATGCTCATATGCCTTATAGGATACATTTTAATGTCAAAACTTGCTACTTTTTTAAGGGCATTTAACACCAACTGCTGCACTTCTGTCACGAGACTTGGGGAAGCTTTCGGTTTTGTATGGGTCAGATAATGACCTTTGTGTGTATTCTGGCAAGCAAGCATATGGGGATTGGGCAGTATAGTACCCAATATTAATCATGAAATTAGTTGGCCCCAGCAGTTCATGATTATGATTGGAGGCGAACTGTCACAAGATTAAAGCGAAATTGCCTAGAATGCTTATAGAATAGATATTTGCAGGGACTGATGATCAGAGAGGTCTGTCTGAGGCCATACTCTGCCAAAGGCTTCAGATAATCTGTATAATCTCTTGCAGTCTTGAATGATCTAATTTCTGAAATTTACGTGCTAGTGTTTAAGTTCTACCTTTTAGCATCTAGTACAATGTGATTGGGCATATAAGTATGCTAAAGCTTCGTATGTATTTTGTATTACTAGGGATATTATCTTATTTATTATATATCTTATGAGACTTTCTAATTTCTAAATTCATTGGCAGCAAAATAATGGAATATACAGACTAGATTACTAAATAGATATGTCGGATATCTTTTCCCAATGAGAATCCAACTAATTGATAGCCTTGCTTCACAAGTAGCTGTGCAGTTGATGCGATAGCTATGCCAACATTGGACTTGTTTCAGTATTACCACTTTTTCCAAACCACAATTTGAATGCTTGCTTATATTTTGGTTTCTTGAACATCCATTTGTGTGAAACTGAAGTAAATTATACTGGTTTTATTCTGTCCGTGTGGACTACAGTAATAGTTTGAAAAATGAATATATTAATGATATGATTTGCTGTATTAGTCTTATCTTTATATTTGAGATTGCAGATTATAACTTATCCTTATCCATTTTTATTCTTGCAGAAGAAGAGAAGCCCACCATGAATGAAGGTGGTGATGAGGAGACTGTGGTGAGGGTGCGGGGCCTTCCATGGTCCGCAACCGTTGAGGACATTCTCAAGTTCTTTGGTAAGTTTTCATTAATTTTTTCTTCCTTCTTCCTAAGTAATTATACTACTGCTCTTTTCTCTATGAAGTAGAAGCAGTTCTTAGGATTGTTCAATGGTGAATTTAAATTATCATTATCATTTGGCAGATGGTGTAAACATCAAGAATGGTCGTGATGGCGTCCACCTGACCCTCTCCCGTGAAGGCCGTCCAAGTGGTGAGGCCTATGTTGAAGTAGCCAGCGAAGATGATGTTGCACTGGCTGAGAAGAAACACAATCAACACATGGGGCGTAGATATATTGAAGGTAAATCTAATCTTTCTTTACAACTTTGTGTAAATGATGATAATGTTAACTTGATACTCAGTGCGAAAGTAGGCTCATCAGATTTTTCAAACCATATTTTCAGGGAGACTATTTTCCTTATGCAAGTGCATTTTCTCTCTTCCTCCCTCTGTTTTCTCTCCTCCTCCCTCTCTGTTTTCTCTCCTCCTCCTCTCTGTCCTCTCCTCCTCCTCTGTTTTCTCTCCTCCTCCTCTCTGTTTCTCTCCTCCTCTCTGTTTTCTCTCCTCCTCCTCTCTGTTTTCTCTCCTCTCCCTCTCTGTTTTCTCTCCTCCTCCTCTCTGTTTTCTCTCCTCCTCCCTCTCTGTTTTCTCTCCTCCTCCCTCTCTCTCCTCCTCCCTCTCTGTTTTCTCTCCTCCTCCCTCTCTGTTTTCTCTCTCTCCTCCCTCTCTGTCTCTCCTCCTCCCTCTCTGTCTCTCCTCCTCTCTGTTTTCTCTCTCCTCTCTCTGCTCCCTCTCTGTTTTCTCTCCTCCCTCTCTGTTTTCTCTCTCCTCCCTCTCTGTTTTCTCTCCTCCTCCCTCTCTGTTCTCTCTCCTCCTCCCTCTCTGCCTCCTCTCTGTTTTCTCTCCTCCTCCTCTCTGTTTTCTCTCCTCCTCCCTCTCTGTTTTCTCTCCTCCTCCCTCTCTGTTCTCTCCTCCTCCCTCTCTCTCTCCTCCTCCTCTTGTTTCTCTCCTCCTCCCTCTCTGTTTTCTCTCCTCCTCCCTCTCTGTTTTCTCTCCTCCTCCCTCTCTGTTTTCTCTCCTCCTCCCTCTCTGTTTTCTCTCCTCCTCCTCCCTCTCTGTTTTCTCTCCTCCTCCTCCCTCTCTGTTTTCTCTCCTCCTCCTCCCTCTGTTTTCTCTCCTCCTCCTCCCTCTGTTTTCTCTCCTCCTCCTCCCTCTGTTTTCTCTCCTCCTCCTCTCTCTCCTCTCCTCCCTCTGTTTTCTCTCCTCCTCCTCCCTCTGTTTTCTCCTTCCTCTCAGAAGCTAAGGAACACAAGTGACACAATTATCTTGTTATATCACCCTCCCCCCTTGATTGACGCACGCGCATTTTTTATAAACTGTAAAGAACTAGAAATGAATTTGGATCATGAGTTAACATAATCTTTAAATGTTCTACAGTTTTTAAGGCGAAGCGCTCTGAAATGGAATGGGTCGTCAAGAGGGCTGGCTTTGGAGGATCTGGTGGTGAAGATGATGGGTGTGTCAGACTCCGTGGTTTGCCTTTTGGTTGTTCCAAGGAGGAGATTGCACAGTTCTTCTCAGGTGAGGATTTCCGTCTTCAGTGTCAGATTTTTTTTCCTTTGATTAACGTAGAGGTGAAAGAGGAGGAGCTGTTTTATTGTTCTAACCACATGTATATGATTATATATATGTGTGCATGGATATCCTAGCTGAAAAATTGTAAGCTCCTTTTTCTTAAATGTTATAACTAATTAGAATTTCTTAGTCATGGAAATACAGTTAAAAAAAAAAAAAAAAAAAAAAAATACAGGACACTTTCAACACTTGAGGATAAGGGAAAATAAGTTTGGCATTGTTTTAACATAAAAAAAAGTACTCTTTAAAAGATTTTTGGTTTGCCAACCATACTTAGTGGGTAAACTTTTTTTTTTCTTAATATTTGTACAGTCTTCATGCACCTCCAGAATTTTATGTATATCCATTAGAGTACCAATAGTAAATAGTAACCAAATATCTAATTCTTTATGGTCCTCAAATATTCAAATAATGTAAGTCACATACTATAATAGCCATGATTTTCATAACATTATTCTCTTTCGATGTCGCTGGGTAGGGTTGGAGATAGTTCCGAACGGGATAGCTCTGCCTACCGACTACCAGGGGCGGCATACGGGGGAGGCATACGTTCAATTTGTTAACAAAGAGGTCGCTGAAAAGGCCCTTGAGAAGCATAAGGAAAAAATAGCTCACAGGTGGGATGGCAACGCTGAAGAGGAGTGGTGTTGCACTCAGGTTATCAGTACATGAAGGGTGGTGGGCGGTTTGCAGACAATTTTCATATGCAAATTCTTGACCTATTTAATTCTGCTGCATTGAGGAAATGGTTGACCTAGTGTTCTACTTAATTACATTTACTTGAATATGTACTTCACATTTTGTAGGCAATATGCATATGAAATTTGTACAAAACCAACCCTGTGGCACCTAAAGGGAAGTAGCTGGTGCTGGTGGAGAGGAAGGGAGGGAGGATTGGGAGGGTGTAACACTTCCCAGGATGTTTTCCTTGCAGTTGCCTTGGGTGATACTCAGGCTCAACATCACTTTCTAAGAGAAAGGATTTTGCATGAAAAGTTTAAGCTTAGAAGATCATTGATGGCAAGGAATATCCAATGTCCCCTTGGAGAATGGCATCTGAGTTCCTTTTGAATATTTTTATTTTATTAAATGTTGCTTGCCTTTTTTTTGGTTCAGTCCATTTTTATTACTAGTAGATGGAAGAAAAAACAATATAAGGAAAAAGATGCTATTCTCTAATCCCAAAAACCAAACCCCAGTTTCTATAAGACTTTACATGCTGGATGAGGGAGGATGCGAGGGTGGGAGCTTCGTTCACATCCTAGCAACACTCCCAAAGACAGCTTTTAGTGGGTAAGGGTCTGTCGTATTCTAGTTTTAACCATAAATGGGACTTCCAATTTCTTCTTAATTTTTCTCTTTAATATGCATGAAGGTAAGAAGTTTCTTGAGCTCTATTTAGAAAATTTAAAAAGTATCATGATGGGTCTCTTTACCTTTAAAGTAGAACTTCAATTTGGTGAAGGAAGTCCCAACTACTCTTGAGCCTGAATGTATGTTAGTAATAAGAGAAGTCTGGAAGGGCACTTGGAAGTGAAGGAGATGGCAGCAGAGGAGCAGATAGCCCCTGGTAGGAGGGTGGGCTGTCGGTGAGTCAGGTAGGCAGAGGAGGCCGGAGCGGTGGGCAGTCGGGCGGTGGGCCTGGGCTGGAGCTGGTAGGCCGGGCTGGGCCACTGTTGGGCTGGCCGGGAAGGATCGGGAGGAGACACAGGGCCGGGACACGGGCGCGGGCTTGTGGGGCCGGGCCTGGGACTCGGACAATCCACGGTCTTGGTAATGGTTGTAAGCTTTTTAGACCTATAAATTTGTTTACAGTAATGAAAATATAGACTGAAATAATTTGAATGACAGTAATAATGTTTCTTTAAAAGAAAAAAGTATCAGGTGAAATTCATATTTCACTTCCTATTGATTTGGTGTGTTGTCAGTAGAACAAAGACAGATACATTTAATGGTTACCATTTTTGTTTTAATTAAATTGACCCAAACTCAACACAACCAGTACTACTAAGACTGGGTCATGCCTGGTCAGTTGTAGTTCTCTTGTATTTACAGGATCATCAGCTAGCAATAAGGTTCAGACCTCAGAAAATTATGGTATCAAATTCAAACATTGCCTTTGTTTTATGAAATGGACAAAACACCGCAAAATATAATCCAGTAATCACTTTGTACAGTTTGAGTATGTCCAAGTATGAGATTGACATCACATAATATATATACAAATAAAAATTAGGAGGGTTAGCAAAACTCGTTTCCCTACAGATACATTGAGATCTTCAGAAGCAACCTTGGAGAAGTGCGTGCAGCGATGAGCCCCAAGATGAGAGTACCTGGTGGACCCATGGGAGGTTACAATAACAGACCAGCTCCCTATGACTCTCGTGACAGATTTGGGGGTATGAACAGATACAGCCTGGGTGGACGTGGAAGAACACGTAGGTTTACCTCCCAACTTCTTTATCTTTTTAATAATTTATGTATACTTGACATAGTTGTGTGTAATGTCAGTTACAGGAAGTTTAAGGTTGTCACCTTTTTATTTCAGGTGGGTACAATGACTATGATGGCTATGATGGCTTTGTTTCAGGTGGGTACAATGATTATGATGATGGCCCAGGCTGGGGTGGTTCTGGGGGATACAATGATGGACCCAGTAGTTGGCAGAGTGGCCGAGGTGGTGGAAGAGGTGGAGGACCTGGTGGTATGAAGGTACGGAAACAGATTGGAAGGAGCGGTTGTGTTACTTGTGAGAGTTTAGTAAGAAATAGTAAGATGTGCATCTAGAATAGAAAATAATAAACTTTATTTATAGGGTAATTTCGGAGGTGGACGCGGTGGCAGTTGGAGCAGTGGAGGGACAGGCCACTGTGTGCACATGAGAGGTCTTCCCTTCCGTGCAACAGAGATGGATATTGCTGATGTAAGTTTCAACTGATTTTTTATAGGTTATTTTCATTTGCAGTACATTCACTCCTTGGTATGAGAATATTGCACTATACATAATATTTGAAATGCTTAGAGAAGTTGTATGTGAATGATAGTAGTGTTTGAAATGTAAAAGTTGTTTAAAACGTTATACGAGTTTTAAGTAACTCACATTGATTAAGTTGCTCTGGGTAACCCAAGAAAGGATATTTGAATCAAGGAAATATATTTATATATTTCTTACCTGCAGTTCTTCAGACCATTGAACCCAGTCAACATCAATATTATCATGGACAGCCAGAACAGACCCTCAGGGGAAGCGGACATTGAGTTCGCTACACATGATGACGCAGTCAAAGCTATGTCTAAGGTAAGATTGTTTTTCATATAGTATTTATACTCTTATTCAAGGTTTGAACTTAATATATATATTTAATTTCTGTGTGTTGTAACAAAATATGAATCTTTCCCAGGACAAGGCAAACATGCAACATCGCTACATTGAACTTTTTCTGAACTCAACGCCCGGCGGTAACATGGGCGGTCCTGGAGGTCCAATGGGAGGTCCAGGGGGCGGGCCAGGATCCGGTAACTTCGGAGGCGGCGGCGGAGGCAACTTCAGCGGCGGCAACATGGGCGGCGGGTTTGGTGGGGGGAGGAGGTAGGTACGTCGAATTCGCACCATTTACCGTAAGTAGGGGCAGCCAACTAACTTGTATGCGTGATGAGAGGGAGGGGGAAGAAAGGGAGTGAGAGACTACCATATAAGATAATTTTGATTGTTGTCTTCTAGAATGTTTATTCAGTTTGGGGAGGATGGGCAAAACTATAATTTGCGGGATGGGGTGGCAATAATTGTTTGGAAAGTAATTTAGCGTAAGTGCATGGGGTCAAATGACAGAAGTTAATTGGGGATATTTTCAGTGTACTAGTTAAATTGTAATTTTCATTTCGTTTGTAAAAGGGTTCCAAGGGGCAGTCATTAAATTTAATAATCGGATTGCATGGTTGGCTCACAGAAACTCTAATTACTGTAATTGGAGAAACGGACTCGTGTATTACCTGTATATCTTGTACGAAAATCTTTGTTGCAACGTACATGTAACGCAAGCCAACAAATTTGTGACGCACAAGCAAGTAAATTTGCAATAAAATAAATTGATATAAATTTCTGTTCAACCTTACGCGCTTTATACCAAATTCCTTTCCTTACAGGTGGTAGTAGCTTCGGCAACGGCATGGGAAGCGGCTACGGCAGTGATGACGGCATGGGCGGGGGTATGGGAGGTGGAATGGGTGGGGGATGGGAGGGGGGATGGGCGGAAGCATGGGCGGCAGTGGAGGAGGAGGAGGAGGAGGTGGAGGAATGGGCGGCAGCATGGGCGGAGGCATGGGCGGCAGTCTTAGCGGCGGCCTCGGCAGCATGTCTAGCAGTCTTAGCAGGCTGGGTAGCGGCATGGCCAGCGGACTCGGTAGCGGCATGGGAAGCAGCAGCTTCGGCAGCGGCTTCAACTCCAACAACGGCTTCGGGCCCAGCGACCAGATGTCCGGCAACAACTACAACAGCTTTTGCTAAAATTGTGTTGGGGAACTGAGAGAGAGAGAGAGAGAGGGAGATTAAGAAATAAAAATAAAAACAGGTACCTTAAGGATCTACTGAGAAGTTTATTTTTCTTTAGTTGATATTACAACTACTGTGAACTTTAATTGTGTAATTAATAAAGAATGTCATTTGTAAAATCGATTTTTCATTTAGAAGGTTTGAAATATTAAGGAAGATGCTAAGATTTTTTGTTAGCACTACCGTGTAACCTCAATAAATATATTCACGGTGGCACTGTCACTTGGTGGAAACCCATGAAAAAAAAAACGCAAGTACAGTTAAAACCTCTAAGATGAATGGTAGACTATAAATAAAACTGCATCTGACTTCATCTTAAGTGTGTGACATTCCATTGACATGGTTTGATGCAGATCTCAAAATTGTTCCGTGGACGATGGTTGATTACAAATGTATTTTTAGGTTATTTTTAAGGTCTGAATAAAAATACAAACCTTACAACAATCTATGATTCCCCCTTATAATAAACTTAAAAAATATGGAATTAGGAAAGCCTCTGCTGGTGCGATAAACCAGCGTAAAATTAAGAGGCATGTGTAAGAGCGCCTATCCTGTTAGAGGCCAAGAGATAAGACGAGGGTGGGGAGGGGGGGAGAGTAAGAGATAAATTGAGGGGCAGGAAGCTGGAAAGGTGGAGCCAGGAGGGGCGTTATCATCGCTCGCCGCCCCACAATGCACCGCGACTCTAGGCAGCCATAGTGGATATCTCTACGGACGATGGCAGGCTGAGTTTAATCCGCGAAATCCGACCTAATCGTTGTTTAGACGAGTGTAATAAGTACATAATTTGCTCCAGCGTGATTTAAGATTGGTTTCTCAACACGGAAGGATAGATTTGCATCGGGAAATACCATCATGAGCTTCCTTTTGTAAGTGCTTGTGTCGTTTGTTATGGTCGATCAGCTGATTGGGAAAGGAATGTACGTGAAAAGGGAAAACCTAATATTATATGGGGCTATTTATTAATAAATCATCCCTGAGTTATGGCTTTGTGTCGAGAAACGTGGGAAATATATAATATATGAAGTTATAGAAGCTAAATGTAAAAGAATAACACAAGGCGGATTTGAGTGAGTTGTTGCATCATATCTTATGCTACGTTTTATCAGACGATGAGTCAAAATACTGCGAGTTTCAGCAAAAGCCCACATTTATTGATTTATTGATGGCTAGCTCGCCATTAGCACTCTAGAAAGGGAAATGAAGGCCGTAAAGATATGAGTCAATGACGAATAACAAGAAAAACCAACCATTATATTTTTTCCTTCGCGTTTTATCAAAGACAATGCACTTTCATTTTCATTGCTACCTTAGGAAAAGGCAGTTTGCAGAGTTGAAGCAGTTTTCATGAAATTAGTTCATGTAACTTGGAGAATGGGAATTTGAAGAAAGTGCTTATATTTCGTATTGTGCTGGAGAATGAGAGTTTGTGTTATTAGTGTTTTTTTTTTTTAAGTGTTCAGGTCAGCTGGAAGTAATTTAACATATTTTGATGAGTAATTGCATTTTTTTATGAGGTAGTGCATGTAAGAATGATAAGATAAGTAAAGTTTTATCAGCAGAGTAAAAGCCAAATGGATGTTAGGCTAGGTTTAGCAAGCAAAACAAAGCAAAGCAAAGTTTAGCATATAGACAAGTGATATTTAACCAAAGTGATCAGGCTAGGATGCCTAAATTTGAGGAGAGAAAGACTAAAACAAACTAAACCAGCACCATACTAAAACAAAATAAAGCATAGCTTGCCCTGTCCGATGATAGGCTAATAAAAGGAGTTATTAAACAAAGCTAGTCATGATTATTTATATAAATTTTTTTTTTTTTTAACAAACTCTGTAGGGGCACAGTTATATTTAAGCTTAGACCAAATTACAAGAGAAAGGAGTGAGACAGCATCCCATGCCAGGAAATGCAATTCTATGCCAGCTTACAAAGTATGAGAGAGTCAGTGGCATGTTACTCCAGGCATTGCACTCTAAACCAGATTAGTTGAAAGCCGAACTAGCTCAGGAATGAATTGAACTTGGCTAGGCTAAAGTCAAAAGGAATTTGTGTCCAAAGAGAGCAGCTTACAAGATTTGGGGCTTGTGTGCCGATGTAAACAAATGGTAAACTGGAAGAATGGAATGCAATGACAAGTAGAGAATAGAATATATGCCTTTGTTTACCTGATATATTTTTTCCATCATTTTTATACAGTATCATTGTAGAGGATATATATGTATCAAAATACTTATAACATAACATGTAATTGACAACATTCTCTCTCTCTCTCTC